TCTCCACTCATCCCAAGTGTGATGGCCCCAATCCCTGCAATCAGGCAGCCCTTTAAGCCTGTCACTGTTTATGTCCGTGGTGCGTGAATGCTCAACCACAAGGGCCTGGCCTCATTGTTAATGGGGCTTGCAGACACGAGGAGGCCACACAATACAGTGGGACCAGCAAATGGTTGGGTTGGCACAGTCCCAGAGGTGAGTGGGATCTCTGGGGCCTCTGGATAGCCATCACTGAGTTAAACATAAGTCTAAAGATCTGGGAACATCAAGGCTGCTCAGAGGGTCCAGGTGAAGGAAGGGGAGTGGGGGTGGAGACTGATCTCTAACTTGTGGAACCAGGTGTCCACAGGGCTTCACCGTGACCTGTGATTCATTTCTGCCTGATTAGAAACTGTGCTGACACCCTGACTTTTTAAGAATTTGGGCAGATTCAGAGAAGGGAGACCATTTGCCTTTATGTATGGCAGGAGGTGGGAATAATGGGTCAGGGTAGGAGTTTTTTTCTAGTGTGTCCTGGGCAGGGACTCAGCCTTCTACCTTAGTGTGCACCTGCTCCCATGCCCAGTGGTAGTGGTATCCTGAGGCAGTCCCGAATCCTGCTCTGCCTAGAGAAGGCCTGGACAAAGCATACTTCTGTGCCCAACTTGGGAACTTTTGGTCAGGGAACCCCCAGGCCAGGGAGGCCTCCCAAGCTTGGCAGGTGTCCAAGCCAGGCATCTCATTCGCCCAGTGGTCTCATCCTCATGGCTGCTGGGGAGGGACTCCAGGGAAAATGGTGGTGGGCGGCCTGCCACCAGCCCTGCACTCATCTGGCTTTCATTATGTCTGGCAGAGCCTCCGGCTTTGTGTGTTGGAAGGGTCTGGCCTGATCATTCATGGAGGGGGACTTGGGCTTCTCTATGGCTCTGTTTGTCTACACCCCTTAGAACTGCCTGGAGTGGCAGGGTGGAAGGTTCTACCCTGCACAGGTTGCTGCTATAGATGCCTCCTCTGCCCTCACTCTCCAGGCCTCTGTGCTGTCATGCAGACCCATCACTGTTTAGAAATCAGAGGGGCAGCTTCTGGCTGGAGCTGGAAAACCAGGGTCCTGGCAGGAGAGGAGGCCGCAGCCGGAAACTGAACACAATGACCATTTAGCATTTGCCTGGGGGAGGGGGCAGGGAAGTCCCTGTCTGTTTTGCCAATAATTCCCTCCCATCCCCATCCTGGGGCTGATTTCCTGATGGCAGTCCCAGGTCCAGAAAAGAGACTGACCGGCTTGAGATCCCTCCATTCTCTGGAAAACACCAAACTGTCTCTGCCTTTCCTTTTCTGTCATTGTTTCCATCAGCCCTGGGGTTGCCAGATGTCCTCACACATCTGGGCATCTGCCTGCCATCTCAGCTCTAAGTCAAGCCCCCACTGACCTAGTTTGACCCGCCCGAGCCTGTGCTTTTTGGAGGTCATGAGGCCTATGCTCCAGTGGCAGGCAGGCTTCAGCTTTAACCTGGCAAGAGCCATTTGTGGATCTGTGGTATTTGCAGGCAGCAGGCACCAGTGCCGTGTTCTTCTGGCTTACATAGACATCCAGTTTAGATGCCAGTGCCATCTGCTAAGAGGCTGGAGGGCAGAGAGGTGAAGTCCCTGACCTAGATAAATATGTTGTCAGGAAGGGTCGCAGACAGGACTTCAGCACAAGCCGTGTTCCCTGGGGTTGGGGGTGGGGTGCCTGTTGCTTGTAAATCCTGGAAGCAGGACAAGGCAGAGACAGCTAGTGGACAGTAGAAGCCAGCAGAAGCTGGGGGTGGAGGGTGGCCCTGGGATGGTGAGAGATGGGAAAGCTTATTTAGAATCCAGGGGAAGGGGGAAATACCTCACATTTGGGGACCCTGGGGACAGTGGAACTGGGAGCTTAACATACTAGCTAGTGGCCTAGGGCTTTGTGGAAGGACCTCAACTAAATAATTTGTATGCATTTTGTCCTTTGGGGAAGAGGGGCCGGTCAGGCTATTAATAACCCATTTGACAGATGAAACAACTAATTAGATTGCACAGAGTCAATAAGCTGGTCAACTGCAGAGGCAGAGGCCAGGCCAGCTTCTCACCTTGGCAGCTAGCCTATGAAGCCTGAAGGCTGCGTGGGTTGGCAACAGTGAAGCGGGGGCTTCTCCCTCTGGGCTGTCTGGTCTCTTGATCACACTGTGTGCAGCTCTTAGCTTATCCCAAGGTTCTTTTGTTCCCTTGACACTGGGACATAGAGGGCTGTGTGTGTGTGTGTGTGTGTGTGTGTGTGTGTATGTACACAAGATAATCTTTCAGAGGGACTTCCTGGCTGACTGTAAAAGGGCAGCCTCCAGGAACTTTAGGGCCTGTTATATTCTTGGGGGGGGGGAGTCTGGGGAGTCTGGCCATCACTGCTAGGACTCCAGGACCCTGTTGTCCCACTGTTGCTTTTCTCAGAGGTACAGAGGAAAAGGTTGAGGAGGCCCAGATGGCTGGTACTGGTCCTCTGTCTCCAGTCTGGAACACTGAGAGAGACCTGCTGGCCCATTTCCTGGGAGCCTCAGGGCAGCTCTAGAGCAGGAGGAACCGGATTGCTAGCAGGGCAAGAACAGGCTGATTCTAAGTGGGGTGGCCAGACAGTTTTCAGGCCTGTGGGTTGTGGAGGGGGTTCCAAAAGGCTGCACTCCTAAGGGTCTCAGTTTGACACCTGCCCTGGGGGTTGGGCTTTGGATGTGCTCACAAGTGCTATGTTAACAGGCCTACACCCTAGGAAGCTCAGTCTCCACAGCCCAGTGAGAGTGAGAGATTGAGATTGGTTGCTTCCTGATACAGGAGCTGAGGCCCCTAACAAACTCAGTTCTCTGGAGAAAGGACAACCTGAGGGGCTGCTCACTGAGCAGGGCACAGGGACCAGAACTGCTGAGCCATGGGCATTCTGTTGGCAGTCTCCCCTCCTTTGATGCCTCTGCCTGCCACTGTTATCCTACAGTCACACCTGCAAGTGTTCTGTCCTTTTGAACCTGGAGGTGTATAACCTAGCTCTGTGGGGAAGGCAGCTGTGCTGGAATGCCAGCTTGGCTCCTGTGAGCCTCGGAGTTTCTTCATCTGTAAAATGGGCGTAATGCTAATTACTCTGGGGGGGGCGGTTGAGACAGGGTTTCTCTGTGGCTTTGGAGCCTATCATGGAACTACCTCTTGTAGATCAGGCTGGTTTCGAACTCACAGAGATCTGCCTGCCTCTGCCTCCCGAGTGCTGGGATTAAAGGTGTGCGCCACCACTGCCCAGCTAATTATTCTTTGAGTTCTGGAATGGACCAAGTGAGACCAACAGCCTAACAAGTGCCATCTACAGAGCCTGAAAGTGGCCACAACTAGTTTTCCTGACTAGGTGACAAAGCCCAAGCCTCCTGAATGTCTGGACTCTGGTCTCCTAGGACATGTGGCCTCAGCGTGGCATCACAGGCATTTTCCCCAGGACATGTCCTTAAGCCTTTGCTCAGAGGTGCAGGTGTGAAACCACTGGCCTGGCTACTTTCCCACTTGCTGTGTAGCCTGAGGAAGTCATTTCTGTCTCTAGCTCCTGCCCTGCATCTGTGTGACCAAGGCTGGACCCTGCCCTGGCGTTGGGCCTCTGGTAGAAGCAACAGCCAGATCCGGGTATGTCCCTCCAGGCCTGGGACCAAATTCTTGTCCTGGCTGCTGTTTCCTGGCTCTACCTGAGTAAGCCTCCACCTGGCCCTACCTGGCTGTGCCCTCATCTGCCAGGCAGCATACTGGGAGAGTCACTTGCATGAAGTATACAAAGGACCTGGTACAAGAAATGCCTGAGTAAGCTGGATGGCATATTCATGGTCAGTGGTGTGGGTCTGAACCTTTAACTGGACCTGCTTATGCCTTGTGAGGACCAGGCCATGCCCCCTCCCAGGCCTGCCCAGCAGTGGTCATTTTATGATAAGAGCCCAGTAGCAAATGGGCAGCAGGACTGGGTATACAGGTTATGGGTTTACTAGGCTAAAGGGATAGGTGTTTCCTCCCCCGTTTGAGCTCAGTTTTCATTCCTAAAATGCTAACTTGGGGACTGGAGAGATGGTTCAGAGGTTAAGAGCACTGACTGCTCTTCTAGAGGTCTTGAGTTCAATTCCCAGCAACCGCATAGTGGCTCACAGCCATCTAAAATGAGACCTGGTGCCCTCTTCTGACTAGCATGCAGGTAGAACACTGTATACATAATAATAAATAAAATCTTTTTTAAAAAATGCTAACTTGGCCAGTAGTTGGACTCAGGCTGACAGGGAGGGTTCCTGGGGACCTGAATCTCACTCTGTTGAAAGCTATGCACAGACTGAGCCCAAGACTTTACTTTCCTAGGTCTTGGTGCTCCAGTGCTGCCATGGCAACCAGGCACCTTGCATAGTTCCAGCTGAGGCGGCCTCTGTGGGCTGTGGGCTTGGGGAGTACCTAGAGCTGCTGTGAGGCCTTAGCATCTAGGATATCCACCCAGTGCTGGAGCTTGGATAGAGGACTCTAATGGTTGGCGTTTTCATTTTCCCTTCTCTACTGGGGCTCATGGTCTAACCAGGGCCTGGCCTTGAGGAGTCCTGGACACTGTCTCTCTGGCCCCGCCTTAGGCTCTGGTTTCTACTTCTGAAATGGGGAGTGTGCTTCCCCACTTTGGAGAGGAGCAGCCTAAGGTTGGTAACCAGCATACAGACTGCTCTCTCCCTCTTCTGGAAGCTTCATTCAAGGTCTAGAACTCTTGAGTGAGCTGCCATTTGGGTCTAGTAGTTCCAGGTGGGCCTCTGATAGGTGTGGCTCTCATATATCATCAGCTGGGTGTTGTCTGCTACCCTTACTCAGCTACAGCCCCAGCCCTGCCACCTGTTAGCCGTTGCTCTTCTCCCAGCTCATGTCTAGGTTACTGAGCCAAGCTGGGGGTTAAGACCCTTCCTGAAATATGGTCCTATGGGCCCTGTGTGTCCAGAGCTATAGGGTGCCTGCAAGGGGCCTGCTAGAGTGATCTAGTGACCCAGTGGCACTGGGCAGTAGTATGGGCAGGTTTAGAAGTCACCCTCAAGGTTGAGAGTCCACCTACACCACCAAGTAGACGGAGCCTCTTCACATGTAGAAGGAAGCTGTGGTCTTGTGCTCTGAAATCTACCATGTCTGCCAAGGCCTCCTGTGAAACAGAAACAGCCAATGTCTGACTCGACACTCCACCACCACTATCCAGCGCTCTACAGGGAGAGGTGGCAGGCCTGGAGTCCCCATTGGGCCCCTTACTACTTACTGTTCTGGGCTTGGCCTGCGGCTCATTCTCTTTTAGCTGGGGACATGCATCCTGCTGGCCTGAGAACATTGATCAGGTGATGCTACCCAGGTCATGTTTTCTCGCCTCATTCTGAGAGTTCTGGTTATGCTTAAGAGACAGTGCTAGGGATGGCAGGGGGCCGGTGCGGGGAGTGCTCACAGGATCCCCAGGGACACTGTCACCCCCAAGTGATTGACCCAAGTGTGTTAGACACAGCTGCCAACTTCATCCCAGGGCCCCGAGGCCTTGCACATGCTGTAGTGGGGGGAGAGGGGTGATCCTTCCTACGGACACAGCCAACCATGTGGCATTCCTCCCTTGGCACTTGAAGGCATCCTGGATGCCTGCCCCAGGCAGATGAGCAGGCAGACACTTTTGCTGTGTCAGCTGTTCACTAGGCAGCCTACCCCCTCTTCTCCCTGGTCTGCTTGAGATTTCCTGGGAGCATGGTGCTGCCCGCATGGGCTGTGTGCCACAAAGGTAGTCCAATGTGGCCTTAGGGTACTTGGTCCCTGCCTTTCCAGCCTCAGAGGGACCTGAGGGCAGATCCTTAGGGGCAGGAGGTGGGGGGGGGGAGCCTCTTCTATGCTGCCTTCTAACCAGGCCTGAGGCATCTCCTCTGAGTATCTGGTGCAAATGTACCCACACTCAGCATTGTAAGGTGGTCTGGTTCACTTGTGCTGTGGTTGCTTGATGGAAATGGAGTTCATGGAGCAGTTTCCATCTGTGTGACGGGGTGCTGACTTCCTAGAGGAAGGCCTGTATGGCTCTCAGTGCCTGTTAGCACCCCCCCCAACCCAGCTGACAGAATACCCCCCTCAGATGAGGGAAGGGTGCAGGGCTCACATGACATTCCCACAGGGCCCAGGCCAGCTGCTGGGCTGTCAGCCCAAGCCCAGGGCTGAGAAAGGGCTTGCTTTTGAGCCCTGCTCAGGCTGCTACACTGCTTGCATCCAGCCCCTCCTGTGGGTTTGCCTGGCCACTCAGGGCACATTTCTGTCCATTGAGTACCAATAAAAACCTGTTGCAAACTGGCACTGTACTGGGTGCCTTGGGCTAAAATCCAGTGTTGTGTGGCGGGAGAGGGAAGTTCACGTGTGAGACCCTGAGTCCCTGCTGCTGACCACTTGGGTGTTTAGGACACTGGTGCCAGATGTGACCAAACTCCTTAGGAAAGGAGGACACTTCTAGCCTTGACTTCCAAGGACCTCTAAGGAGGCATGGTGGGTGGTTCAGGGCCATGGTCTCCTTTATCTCTTCTGAAGGACATTCTAGATTCAGGCCAGGGGTGAGCTGATGACAATGCCACTGGTCTGTGAGGAGAAGTTCTCCAGGCTGTGGGCCAGTATTGCTTAGGGTACATGAGCCTTCTTGTTGCCTACTGACTTCCAGGAAATAGGCCTAGCCTTGTCTCTAGAGAAGGCAGAGGATCATGAGCCCAGTGTGGTGGCCACGGCTTTACCCTTGGTTCAAAGCTCAGAGTGGGAGGGCAGAAGAAGTGGACTTCCAAAAGTTGTTTCCAGGCCTCCCAGAGCCTTGTAAGGGTAGATGGCAGACAGAGGATAACCCACATCACACCGGCCCCCAGAGAAGGGTTTGTAGTGGTGCTCCATGTAGGTAAGCACTTTGACTGGAGTCCCCTGGGCCCCATGGTAATCCTTGTGGGGGCAATAGCCCTGGCTTAGGCTTGCAGCAGCTGGCCCCTCTCTGAGCTCTGAGAGGTTGGTTTCTTTACCCTCCGTCCCAGGTATAGCCCTTCCCCAGATGGCAGAAATCAGAGAGATCCTGGGGTGTCAGGGAAGAGTGTTTCCTTTCTGCTTTGGACTCTGAGAAGCAGCCACATGACCCCTTTCTTTCTCAACTGGGCCTCATGATTTGGGGTTCTGCGGAACCCTGACATTGTTGCTGTTCCCCACTCACGTGAGGAAGAACAGCCAGCTGGGAAGTCCCATGTTGCCCAAGAGGTCTCAGAAGCATGAATGAGCAGAAGGGGAAGGAAGTAGCCTTCGATGTGCCCTGTGTCTGCACTTGCGCTAGATCCATGATGCTGACTCCAGGCGTGGGCTAGGAAGAACTGCCTAATGCTGCTGTTTCAGCCAGGAGTCTCAGATTGGACAGAGAGATGAAGGCATGGGTGACCCCAGGTCTTGGGCTCTGGGGACTAGGTTTTTCTGAGGGCCAGTGCCACCTATGACCATGTTAGGACTTTGGGATGGGTGCTCTGCCATATACATTGGACAGTTTGATTTGGGTCAATTACTCCTGCCTCAGCTTCCACTTACCCTTCTGTGAAATGACTGAATAACAACACCTGTCTTAGAAGGAAAATGGTGTAGTACAGTCCATTACTAGTGAGGAGCAGGTTCCTGAGGTGGTGTCCTTTTGTTCAGTAGGAGCATGGTGGGAAGGGCAGTCCTGGGCTCTCCATTTACTTCACACTGGAGGTCTAGGAGCCACTTGTCTGTGCCCTCCCCCTGCATCAGATCCCTGATGCCCTGGCCTGGCTGATGGGCCCTGTCTTTCCAGAGCTCTACGCAGGAGATTGGGGAGGAGCTGATCAACGGGGTCATCTACTCCATCTCCCTGCGCAAGGTTCAGCTACACCAGGGAGCCACCAAGGGCCAGCGCTGGCTAGGGGTGAGTACAGAGAGGACACCCAGAGGGTGACGCTGTCAGACTCCTTCCCAGGGTTTTTGGTTTGAGGGCCCCAGTCCCTCTCAGGACTCTGGGCTGACCCTCTCCCCCCACCCACCCCCAGCCCAAAGTCTAGCCCATACACAAAGACCCTGCTGATTTGCCTCCCTACAAGTGAGAGGAGACACCATTGATTTTGTTTCTCATTTCCCATAAGGCCATGCATACTGGAATATTTTGCTGGGTTTAATACGTGTCCCCAGATGCCAGTCCTCCTACACCTTCCTCCTAGCCTTACAAATCCTCTCACATAGTAGGGTTGCCCTTTATCCCCAGGGAATAGAATTTCAGGCTTTGTACACTATCTTAGTTAAGTTTACTATTGCTATGAAGAAACACCATGACCAAAAGCAAGTTGGGGAGGAAAGAGTTTATTTGGCTCACACTTCTTCATCCATAGTCCATTTCTGAAGGAAAGCAACAACTCACAACCTCAAGCTTACTGGCTTGCTAATTAAGCAAATGTCCTACAGGCTTGTCTACAACACCGTTTTATGGAGACATTGTCTCAATTGGGGTTCCCACCTCTAAGATGACTCTAGCCTGTGTCAAGTTGACAAAATTATCAAGCATGTATATACTTCTGCAACTTGCTGTCTCAGAACATGTTTCCTGGGCACCTTGAGCCAAGAAGCTGGGCCTAACCCAGCCATATAATATTCCAGAAGAGAAACCTGTTGTTAGAGCTGTTTACCTTCCTTGCTATTGGATCCCAACAGGATTCTTCTCTATATTCATTGAGTTTGCTCAGGGAATGTCCTAGGTCCTGATAGACCAACTCTCTGACTCTGGAGTAAATCGTCATTCCACCTCTAGGATGGGCTATGTGGTTGGAATCTCCCCTCTCAGAGTATGTTAGATATTGTTACTACTCATCTAAGAAATTACCCTCCTCCACACCTCAAATTTTGATTTAAAATCTGAGGCCTTTGCTGGGTGGTGGTAGTGGCTCATACCTTGGGAGGCAGAGGCAGACTTATCTCTGTGAGTTTGAGACCAGCCTGGTCTACAGAGCGAGTTCTAGGACAGCCAAGGCTACACAAAGAAACCCTGTGTCAAAAAAAAAAAAAAAATCAGAGACCCTTTACCGGAGACCCTATTTTTCCGAGCTTTGGCCACATTGTACTGAGGGTGTGTAGGAGGTGATCCAAGCTCTAGCCTCTAGCATTCCTGAGACCACAGCCCTGTCACTGACAGTATTCTTCCCTTGTTCACCCAGTGTGAGAATGACTCGGCCCTGAACCTCTACGAGACCTGCAAGGTACGCACAGTGAAGGCTGGCACTCTGGAGAAGCTGGTGGAGCACCTGGTGCCTGCCTTCCAGGGCAGTGACCTTTCCTACGTCACTGTTTTCCTGTGCACCTACAGAGCCTTCACCACCACTCAGCAGGTGCTAGACCTGCTGTTCAAAAGGTGAGCACCAGCTCTAGACCCAGGCACACCCTTCCTCTTGGCTGGGTGTTGGGAATGCCTTGTGTCTCTGTGAGCCCCAGTTTGATAGTAAACATTGTCATAGGCTGTTGTCTGGACGAAATTAGCTAGGCTGTGGCAGTGCCACCCCTATCTGGGCTTTCTTCTTCCATGGAGAAGCCATTTCACTTGAGTCTTGGGCTAAATGGTTCCCCACTTAGAAATGGGGCAGGGGTCAGGGGGACCTTGACCTAGGTAGACACAGGCCTCATGGTAATTGATGAGAGACTCCAGGTCTTCTGAGGTATCTGAGTGTATAAAACATCTGCTATGTGTAGCTGTGTTGCCAGGCATTTCTCTGTGACAAGAGCAGAGAGTCCCTGCCTCCCTGGGCTCCATTCCCATCAGGGAGTCGGCCAGTAACACTAGACATCATAAGCAGGTACGGTAGATGTGACGCCCTCACGGCCTCCTCTAGATATGGCTGCATCCTCCCATACTCCAGTGAGGACGGTGGACCACAGGACCAACTCAGAAAGTAAGTGGGCTTTGGGTCAAGAGGGGAGATTTGGGGAACAAGGGCAGAGCAAACTATAGGTCCCACACCTCTGGTTCCTGCTGGTGGACTGAGGTCTAAGGCTCCTCCTGCAGCAAGAGGAAGATAGAGTTCAGGGGGATACTGAGCATTCAAGGATCAGAAAGGAGGGGTGTGTGTGTGTGTGTGTGTGTGTGTGTGTGTGTGTGTGTCTCACATGCATATGGGTATCAATCAGAACCAGCAACTATGAGAATCCTTCCCTAGCACAGTCTGTCTTGATAGGCATGCAGTCTCACTTCTTGGTAATGGTCATTTAGCTGGTCCTCAAGGGGTTCAAAGAACAAACCATGTGCCTCAGGAAAACACAACCCACACCTGGCTCACATAGAATAGGTACTGAGATAGTCCCAGCAACTGGTTGAAGTTCCTTGAATGCCAGGTAGGAGGATAAGCCCTTCCTGTATTTGCATTCCAATAGAGTTGGACAGGAGTGTGGTGTTTCCCTAAAGACCCTGGAGAACTGCCATTCCATTGATGAACCTTTGCAGCTCCTATAGGGATTCTCTGTAGCCTCTGTCTAGTTACTTGCCCTGCCACCATCAGGACAGCCAAAGGGTACTTGTGGGTGGAAGCACACCACAGGAGTGCTCTGGGAGGGTGGGAGGAGAGGCCATGCCTCTGACTCTGTTACCTGTCCCCAGTGCCATCTCCTCCATCCTGGGCACCTGGCTGGACCAATACTCAGAGGATTTCTGTCAGCCTCCGGACTTTCCCTGCCTCAAGCAGCTGGTGGCTTATGTGCAGCTCAACATGCCTGGCTCAGACCTGGAGCGCCGAGCTCACCTTCTTCTGGCCCAGCTGGAGGACCTGGAGCCTAGCGAGGCTGAGTCTGAGGGTAAGGAGCCAGGGGAAGGTTCACAGAGCCTGGTAGGAGTATTAGTTCCCACCACAAAGAGGCTCTAGGGCCAGCACTGGCCCAGGAGCAAGAATGAGCCTGGGACCCAGCAGGCAGTACACTGTGGTCTGGGTCAACATCTTGTTCTGGGGACAGGGTCTTGCCTCCCTGGCAGGCAGTGGTACTCTGTCTTTGGAAATGCTCTGGACAAGGCATCCATGTTGGACACCTTTTCTCCTGCAGCCCTGTCCCCAGCTCCAGTGCTGTCTCTGAAGCCAGAGACACAGCTAGAACCAGCGCCAGCACTGCTTCTGGCATCCAGCCGAGCGGTGGCATCAGTGCCAGAGCCAGAGCCAGAGCCAGAGCCAGCTTCTGAGCCAGATCTGGCCCCAGGACCAGCACTGGCATCCAGCCCGGTGGTGGCACCAGCTTCTGAGCGGGAACCAGCTCCAGCACCACCTCTAGAGCCCGAGCCATCCCTCGCACCTGCTTCAGAGCTGGAGCCGGCTCTCTCACAGACCTTAGAGCTTGAACCAGCCCCTGTGCCAGCTCCCGCACTAGAGCCTTCCTGGCTTCTGCCTGGAGCCACAGAGAATGGACTGGACGAGAAGCCTCACCTCCTGCTATTCCCTCCGGACCTGGTGGCTGAGCAGTTTACACTGATGGATGCTGTGAGTGGCGCAGTGGGGTAGGGCAAGGCTGGCTTCCTTTTGTATTCTGCTGTCTAGACCTGTTTTCTGGTTCAGAGCCTGTGTCCCCCAGGGCGGATCCCAGCTCCACTGTTAACAAACATGTGACTAGAGCACACTATTTAACCCCAAGGCACTGATTCTTCATGGATGGTGGTTATGGAGTGTGTGCATGCACATGCACGTGCGTGCGCGGACACGCATACACACAGACACACACACACACACACGTACACACACACCACACATAATACAGAATTGAGAATTTGGAGCAGATAGAAAGTGTGGCGGGTCTGACCTGATGGAGGTGTGCTCACCAAAGTGCCCATAGGCCCCTGGGTTACCCCGTTCCATTCTGCCCTGGAGGCCTGTCTAGCCTCAGCATTTGTGAAGTGCTTCCTGTGTACTGGAGACTGCCAGACACAGGATAGGCTGTGTACCAGGTGTGCTTGCTGGGCAGGGGAGGGGAGGGAACAGCAGATGCCTTCTGAGAGGAGCAGGCATGAGCCATTGGTATGTACACCTTCCCTTTCCCCGTCATTTCTCCTGGTTCACCCATGCACTGGGTGCTGCTCTCAGAGGTCAGGTGGAGAGGTAAGAGTCCCACAGGGCTCAGCCACATCCTCACTCTGAGCTCCAGCTTGGGCCTGTGGGCTGTGCAGGGTCAAGTGACACCAATTCTCCTCCCTAGGAACTGTTCAAGAAAGTGGTGCCCTACCACTGTCTTGGCTCCATCTGGTCTCAGAGGGACAAGAAGGGCAAGGAGCACCTTGCACCTACCATCCGTGCCACTGTCGCCCAGTTCAACAACGTGGCCAACTGTGTCATTACAACCTGCCTTGGGGACCAGAGCATGAAGGCCTCAGACAGGGCCCGGGTGGTGGAACACTGGATCGAGGTGGCCAGGGTAGGCTGCAGGAGGGGCCTGGGGAACCTCTTCTTTTCCCTCACAGACCTCAGGACCACACACTCTTTCCTGGCACTGTACACTTGAGCTGCTGTGTGAGTGTGTGTGTGTGTGTGTGTGAGGGCATGTCCCTTGTGTGCCCTCTAGGAGCTTCCTGGCATTCTTAAGGAAGGGCTCAGCCTGGGGCACCGCTCACAGACTCCTTGTCCCCAGGAGTGCAGAGTGCTCAAGAATTTCTCCTCCCTCTACGCCATCCTCTCTGCTCTACAGAGCAATGCCATCCACCGCCTAAAGAAGACATGGGAAGAGGTCTCCAGGTAGGTCTCTCCATTCCCTGCCCCTGCTATACCCTGGATGGCTCGACCTTCAGTGAGCCCCAGCAGCAAAGTCCAAGGGGCGGTCCACTGGTATGCACACCCTGATTAGAGCCAGGTCAGAGTTTCATGCTTGCACACAGCTGAAAGCAAAACAAAGTTTTGCTTACTCCCGTCTGTAGTCCCCAGTGGAATCATGTTTAGAGCATCCTTGTTCAGCAGCTTAGGATCTTTGTTCTAAAAGAAAATGGGTTCTCCATCGTGCCTGCCCTAGTGCACACTCTTCCCAACCATTGCCTTCTCTCTGTGCTTCCTTCAGGGACAGTTTTCGAGTGTTCCAGAAACTGTCAGAAATTTTCTCTGATGAGAACAACTACTCCCTGAGCAGAGAGCTGCTCATCAAGGTAAGGAAGCCACAGTGATGGGGGCAGAGGGAACAAGGGGATGGCAAACTTCCAGTCCTGTCAAAGCTGGACAAAGGGAGGAGGGATGTCTTTGACCCTTGGGCAGGAGGCAGGAATTTGGAGGATCAGGAGGCCACTGGTAATCTGTTGTAGTGGGGACAGCCAGCCAGCCAGGCTGCTACAGGAGGATGATCCAGTCAGATTAGCTGGTCTACAGCTTCCTGCTAGGATTTAGCCACTGGCATACTGATGGACAGGTTATAGGGGGGTGCAACTATTTCCTTTCCTGAGCCAGCCCATTCTGTCTCTGTGATGCCAGGCCCCTCCCAGGGATGGCGACTATCCTCTGTGCCAAACATCTAGTTCCAGGGTGCTGATATACCTGCAAAAATGGCTCTTCCCATCTTCCCTGAAGCAAGAAGCTGCTGACCAGCTTGAGAAACAGTGGCAGGCTGCCTTATCCCTTGAAGCCACAGGATGCCCAGGCAGCTTAGACATAGCAGGAGATGATTAACATACCCCTCTGTTTCACTCCAGAAGCTACCATACAGGGGGGAAAAAAGCAGCATTGGATGATTAACATACCCCTCTGTTTCACTCCAGAAGCTACCATACAGGGGGAAAAAAAAAAGCAGCATTATCAGTGAGCCCTACCTTCCCGTATTGGTCAGGCTGAGACAGCCCCTGAGGAGCTGTGTCCTTAGAGAACAAAGTCAGAGGTCTCTGCTGAGGGCTCTGTAGAGCTGGGAAGCTTTGGTGTTGGGCCCCACCTGGGGGCTGGAACAAGGAGCTTGAGACACCTTGTCCCTCTCCCAGTGTGACTGAGCTCAGTTAAAGATCCTCCCACACACCAAGGGACCAGGACTCCAGTCAGTGGGCTGCACTCACTTGTGCGGGGTTCTGCACAAGTCACTGCCTGTCTCTAGGCCTGTTTTCTTGTCTGGCAAATAGAGTGTACTGAGGTTATAGGAGGTGATGATATCTAGGGGAAAAGAGGGGTGAGTGTGCAGGAGGTCACCTCGATTTGGCTGCAGGAATCAAGTTAGGATGGCCCTGGGGGCTGAGCATTGAGCCCTGCTGTCCCCAAGAGGCAGGTGCAGGGTCCTCTGAACTTTGAAGGTGAGGACTTGGGTGCAGGAAGGCCAGGCCCAGGCCCTCCCTTCTCCACCTGTGTGTGTGGGATCAGGAGTCTGGTGTAGAAGCATCAAACGTGGCAGCAGGCATCCTGGACCATCCAGCGCAGGGACCTCCAGGCCCAGGGCCAGAGCGTAGGTTGGGATCGGGAAGGAGACAGTCTCATGCTCTCTGTGGGAGGGTATGGGCAGGGGCCATATGTTGATGATCCGCTCTCCTGGGATGGGAGTCGGGGGAAGGGGACCTGGGAGAGGGGGTCAAAGGTTCTTAGGCTGCTCCAAGTGGAAGGCCCTGGTGGGTCTGGTGAGTAGGGGAGATGGGCGCTGAGCCTTACTTATTTCCCACCTGATGCTTCAGGGTGTCATCCAGGGCACGGTCCCTTACCTGGGCACATTCCTCACTGACCTGGTGATGCTGGACACTGCCATGAAGGACTATCTGTATGTGAGTGAACCTGGGGCTGAGGTGGGGTGGGGTGGGGCTGAGGCCTAGGAGAACAAAGCCCCCTCCTGATCCCTGAGCTCTGGTTCTCAAAAGAACTTGAAGTTTGCCTTCCTGGTGACCCCCCACCCCTACCCCAGAGCTGTCTGACAGCAGAGCTGAGGAGTGGGTTGGCCAGACTAGACATGCGTGACCCTCAGATGGTGGCTCTGAGCAAGAAAGTGAAGCTCCGCACTCCAAGGTCAGACAGCATATGGGCCAAGCAGGGCCTTCTAATTCACAGTAGGTTGGACAGAAATGTCTATAAACCTGCTCTCAGGTTTCTCTACAATCGTGCCTAGGGCCAGGTGCAGGTGCTCCCTGCCCCCTAGTGGGTGCCTGTAGTAGTGCAGAGCAAAGTAGTAGGCAGGACTTTAATAGTGGAGGGAGCTGCTTTCTTATGGATGTTGGCTGTCTGTCTTCTAGGGGAGACTCATCAACTTCGAAAAGAGAAGGAAGGTGAGGAGCTGCCACCCTCAAGGTTTTGGGGGGGGGGCATGCACTGGGCAAGATGCACTTTCCATCCTTGTGATGATTTAGGATGACACTTGGTACACCATTCAAGGGCTGTCCCACAGAAAGGGGCCGGGAGTCGGCATTCAGGACCACTTCCTAGGAGTGGCTGTTTGGACTGTGAAAACAGGAAGGAGCCCGAGTTAGGTGTAAGTGGGAGAGCAGATAGAGACAGACCCAGAGGCTAGCTCCTGCCCCACCCTCACGGGCCCATCACCACCCTGTCTTCCCCTGACCCAGGAGTTTGAAGTGATTGCCCAGATCAAGCTGTTACAGTCTGCCTGCAACAATTATAGCATTGCTCCTGAGGAGCACTTTGGAGCCTGGTTCCGAGCCATGGAACGGCTCAGTGAGGCTGAGAGGTAAGGCTGTAGTCCCTGGGTTACCATGTCACACTGTTGTCTGGTGGTGGCTGTGTACCCAGATCCAACTTCTGGGATAACCCTGGTTGGGAGCTCCAGCTTAGCTTCTGGTAACCTCACAGTCACCTCTGCCTTAGCTACAACCTTTCGTGTGAGCTGGAACCCCCGTCTGAGTCAGCCAGCAACACCCTCAGAAGCAAGAAAAGCACAGCCATTGTCAAACGCTGGAGCGAGTAAGTACCGGGGCCCAAGGTTGCTCGGGGACCAGAGAAGCCTCAGGGATGTGGGCCAGGAGCACCAGCGGAGCTGGCACTAGGGTGTTACCAGTCACAGAGTGAGTTGAATCAGCTGTCCAGGACTCAGTTTCCATATCTCTGAAATGGGGTGATCCCACAGATATCAGGGAAAACAGGACTGGTAGTCCAAGACCCTGCACATTCAAGGACAGTGTCCCTGGGAAGACTCTCTAAAGTAAGCAATCCTTTTCATCCAGTCGCCAGGCTCCCAGCACAGAGCTTAGTACCAGTAGCAGTGCCCACTCCAAGTCCTGTGACCAGCTCCGGTGTGGCCCCTACCTCGGCAGCGGGGACATCACTGACGCCCTCAGCGTGCACTCAGCTGGTTCTTCCAGCTCTGACGTGGAGGAAATCAACATGAGCTTTGTCCCGGAGTCTCCTGATGGCCAGGAAAAGAAGGTGACTACCTATGCCCCCTACCCCTCCTTATTGTTGCTTCTTACGCTGTGTTCAACAAGGGGCCCAGAAGTCCCCAGAGCTGACCTCTAGGCTTCAGGGCCCTTGATGATTCAGGTTGCTGTTGACATTGCTGTCATCCACAGTTCTGGGAGTCAGCCTCCCAGTCATCACCAGAGACCTCTGGCATCAGCTCAGCCTCTAGCAGCACCTCCTCTTCATCAGCCTCCACCACACCCGTGTCTACCACACGTACCCACAAGCGCTCCGTCTCAGGGGTCTGCAGCTACAGCTCCTCACTGCCACTCTATAACCAGCAGGTGGGCGACTGCTGCATCATCCGGGTCAGCCTGGATGTGGACAACGGCAACATGTACAAGAGCATCCTGGTGAGCCGGCAGCGGGGCACCCCCGTGGGGCCCGACTTGGCCAGGTGGCAGACATGCACAAGATACCTGTGTGCTGTCTTTGACCCCTTAGCACTGACCACCTAGGTTTGGAAAAATAAAAATAAGTGGAGACCTTGGTCAGCATTCAGGGCCTGAGAGGAGGGAAAGGAGCGGTATGCTCATGCCCCCAGGGAACGGTGGCCTGTAGGTCATCAGGTCTGAGGCAATGGGACAAGGGTTGAGGGACAGGTGGTCAGGACCCCATTGAACTGTAAGGCCTTTGACTTCCTTTGGAGACTGAAACAGAGGTCAGTGGTGACGCGGTGTGCCCATAGGGAAGTGCTGGTGACCAAGATGGAGGCAGGCTGCTTAGGAGGCTGCTGGTACAGTCCAAGCTCAGGAAAGGGAGGCTGAAGCAGGCTGGTGACCATGGAGAGAGTCTGTGGAGTTAAAGGATTGGATATTATTTGAACATGGAGCCACTGGGATTGCTCACAGATTGTGGATGGGCACGCAGGGAGGACCTTTCTCACCTGCCAGGGCTCCAGCTGCAGAGGACCCCTACACTGGGTCAGGTACCATACACTATGCCAATGGAGCTTCAGCCCCTCTGTGTCAGGGGCCGCAATGGCTCTGGTAAACAGTCACCTGGGTGACCATGTGACTGAGTCCCCCTGAGCTAGCCTGTGTTACATACCATCACAGCCTCAGGGCGGGGCAAGATAGAGGTGGCCAGTGGGCATTGGCTGGTTCCTCCTTAGGGTTGGAGTGGAAACTATTGGTTCCCCAGGCTTGTGATCCTTTTGCCTTCAGGAGAACATGGTTCCCCAAGGCAGTGTGGCAGTTGGTGGCAGGCTATTATAGGAAAATGAGGCTGGGAACGGTTGGGAAACAGCCACCCTCATACTGTGGAGGCCACTTTAAGAATGCAAAAGGTGGGGCTGGAGAGATGGCTCAGCAGCTAAGAGCACTGTCTGTTCTTCCACAGGTCCTGAGTTCAATTTCTAGCAGCCACATGGTGGCTCACAACCATCTGTAATTAGATCTGGTGTCCTCTCCTGGCCTACAGGCATGCATACAGGCAGGAACATTATATAAATAATAAATCTTTAAGAAATAAAATTATAAAAAAAAAAAGAATGCAGAAGGTGAAAGGTGCCCAGATGGGTCATATGGCCCTTGTCCTCATAGCCTGTCCCCATTTCAGGTGACCAGCCAGGATAAGGCCCCGACTGTCATCCGAAAAGCCATGGACAAACACAATCTGGACGAAGATGAGCCAGAGGACTATGAGCTGGTGCAGATCATCTCAGAAGATCATAGTAAGTCAGATGACCTGCCCCAGGTCATCCTCTGCCCCAGGTCCGAGGCCCTAGAACGTACAGTAGCAGGTAAATGTGGTCCTGGCACCCACAACAACCTGTCTTGGGACACAAAAGGCACACATACTGAAAAAGCACACATTTCCGTGTTCTAGAAACCAGGAGAAGGGTGGAAATCAAGAACAAGCCTGGGCTGGAGAGATGGCTCAGTGGTTAGGATCCACTTCCAGAGGATCCAGGTTCAGTTCCCAGCACCCACATGCTGGCTCACAACCACCTATAATCCCAGTTCCAGGGCATCTAGTGCCCCCTTCTAATCTCCTTGGATACCAGGCTCACATGTGTTGTACACAAATACATGCAGTCAAATACTCACACATTAAATTAAATCTTAAAAAAACATAAGTATGTGCTGCTCTTACAGAGTACCTGAGTTCAGTTTCCAGCACATATCAGCTGGCTGACAACCTCCAGTAACTCCAGTTCTAGCAGAACTGATGCCTTCTTTGGGCCTCCATAGACACATGCACATAATTAAAAAGATAAATGAAAGAACCAGCCCACCGGGTGGTGGTGGTGGTGGTGGTGGTGGTGGTGGTGCACATCTTTAATCCCAGCACTTAGGAGGCAGAGGTGGGCAGATCCCTGATCTACAGGGCGAGTTCCAGGACAGCTAGAGCTGTTACACAGAGAAACTCTGTCTCATAAAAAACAGCCCATTCTCAAGGATTTTGAAAAATTCTAGGCATTCTGTATCTATGTCCTTTTTTCCCAAAGGAGACTCTGACCAGCAGATTAATGCTAGAGAGAGAAATGACCACAGAAGTCACCCATGCATATTGTCATTACACTGCTGATGTGAGCTGAACACCCACATCCCACCATTTGCCCCAGTCAGCAGTGGTTCCCGTGACATCTAGATGTTGTATTAACAAACCTTCTCTTAGCTTCTGCCATTTTGGTCATATGGACAGGATGAGGTGACACCTCCCCACCCCCTAACACACAGACACACCTTTCAGAAAGGCCTTTCAGAAAGGCCTGCAGAGGCTCAGGACCTGAAGCCAGACACAGGGTCAGGAGCAGCAGCAAGTCCAGCTTGGTAATGGTAGACAGATTATAGGCCAGAGGAGCATGGTGGGGATTGGACCCAGAGGAAGGTTCTGTCCTCTGCTGGTCCTCAGAGCCTTTGTGAGTAGTAGGGGAGCATCAAGAAAGGCTCTCTGAATTGCAGGAAGCCTGCTCTCGCTGGAAGTCCCAACTAGCACAGACAGCCATGTGGGTGGGATGGGGAGACTCTTGACTAGTTATTAAGTTTCTCTATTCTCAGCATCATCTGCCCCCGGTGGGAGTCACAGGAGAGGTCCTTGTTGGTGGAGCTAGATTGGAGGCTCTTAGGACCTCCATGTGGCGTGGCCTGGGGAGGCTCTCAAGTGGTGGAGGTATCCCAGCCCCATGAGCACCACTGAATGTTGCCCTGCCCCTCTCCCACCAGAGCTGAAGATTCCAGAAAATGCCAACGTGTTCTATGCCATGAACTCTACCGCAAACTATGACTTTATTCTAAAGAAGCGGACCTTTACCAAGGGGGCTAAGGTCAAGCATGGCGCCAGCTCCACCCTCCCTCGCATGAAGCAGAAAGGACTCAAGATTGCCAAAGGCATCTTCTAAGGACGTCTCCCAGGGTCTGGCTGGCTGGGACTAAGCACTTAGACTAGAGTGGCCCAGGCCACGCAGGTACCTCTGCCCACCCGCCAGCCCAGGCTACCCCCAGACTCCAGTTTCACCCTAAACCTCTCCTGCTGCCGGGAGTGACACCTGCCACTGACAGGCTGACCTGGCCTCCGGGGACCACTTGCCGCCTTAGGTGCCTTCTGCTCTCTGGAACCAGAGGACTAGCTGACTTTTGCCAAGGAGTGCTGCCAACTGGGCATGGTACCTTGCCTGCCCTGGACACTACCCTCCACACTTTCCTGACACCTCCCCAGGTGCAGATCACTGCCACCCATGCCCCCGGATGCTCCAGGACACCCACACACCCAGCAGGGCTGACCACTGCATTCTCTCCTTGTGCCCACAGGCACAGGCCTGGGATCTTCATGGAAGTCCCGGCCTTTCCTCCCCCACTCTAGCCTTTCTCAGGCTGCACCAAAGATTCCACCTTCAGGGCCTACAGAGTGAGGGAGTCTCACCCACCACGAGCCCCAGCCCTCCCTTGGATCAGAGAGAGAAGCCCTCTCGTGGACCACCCGGTTGGTATCGAATCCCACACCACTGAAAGTGCCATTCAACACCACTACATCCTGGGTTGTACAAGACTACGTGAAATGGGAGGCCGAGGGTAAAGATATTTGCGGGGAGGGGGAAGTCGACTGAATATTTGTATAAAAAGTAAAAAAGTTTACTGTTTGGGGTGGGGCAATATTTATTTGTTGTAAATAGAAAATGCTAGACTTGAATATTATATTAAAATCCCGTTTCTACTATGGCTTGGTCACCGTGGTTCTGTTCTTTTCATTTCCTTGCTCCTAGAAGGGTCCTCTGACTCTCTTTCATGGGGGATTCTCAGTTGATTTCATGCAGGCGTGCTACAGGAAACACTCCTCCACCTCATGTGAGCCAGACTGGCTAAACAGGTGCTGTGCTCTGCTGATGGCCTCTCAGACCTCCTGGGGGTGTTCTCAGGAAGCATCTGAAGTATCGGTGTCTGGAAAGGAGGGTACAGTGGGGTAGGGGTGGAGGGCTGAGAACTGGCTTAGCAGGGATAGCACTTGTCTGAAATGTTGGTGTCTGGAAAGGAAATGGAGGTGGGGTGGGATAGGGTGGAGTGGGGGCCTGAGAGATGGCTTAGAGGGGAAAAAGCACTTGTCACTACCCTGACTACTCATGCCTGCTCCCTAGGACCCACATGGTGGCAAAAGAACCAACTCCTATAAGTTGTCCTCTGAGCTTCACAAACTCCATGTGCTCATAATGCATACACATACACAAAATGAATGAATAAATACTTATAATTTTAAGTAGGGTCTGGAAAGTTCCAATGGTGGAACTTGTTTCTTGATCTTTAGAGGGCGCAGATTTGGCTCACCAGCACCTGTAATTTCTAGGAAATCTGATGGCCTCTTCTGGCCTCCAGGCATGCATGTAGCACACAAACACATGCAGGGAAAACCCCAAACACAAAAATATATCAGTCTTTAAAAACAACCAGGATCCAGCCAGGCCGTGGTGGTGCACGCCTTTAGTCCCAGCACTCAGGAGGCAAAGGCAGGTAGATCTCTGGGTTTGAGGCCAGCCTGGTCTACAGAGTGAGTTCCAGGATAGGCTCCAACTTATCATAAACAACAACAACAACAACAACAAAAAACGGTTTGAGGCCAGCCTGGTCTACAGAGTGAGTTCCAGGATAGGCTCCAACCTATCATAAAAAACAACAACAACAAAACAAAACAAAACAAAAACAAAAACAGGATCTGGGTGCTGGAGGCATATCTTGTGTAGCATGAGGAAAAGCCCTGGGACTCAGAAGAAAATGCAGAATGATTACTGACCTTGGGCCTTCACATGCACGCCCCTGAACATACACAAACATGCACTCTCCACACACAAAAATGAGGGAAAATATATAACAGAGATAAATAGAATAGAGAACCAGGTTCTTTGAAAAGATGAGCAAAATTGACAAACCTTAAGTTAGATCAGCAAAGAATAATGAAGGACCCCAGTCACTCAAATTTGAAAGTGAGAACATTGCTACCAGCTTTGCAACAGTCAAAAGGAGTACTTGACATCCTTGAATGCTAGCAGCAGACGAGCGTGAGGATGGGGGTGCTCAGCCAGGAACGGGGCTGGAGTATGTGGACAGACCTCCACAGTACATTCATTGTCTATCCTGCTTAGAAGAAGCATCTGGAACAGGCAGACCTGTTAGGTCACAAAGGGCTGGGGAAGGGGAGTGGAGAGCCTGTGTTTAGGGAGCCAGAGTTTCTGTCTGGGGTGCTGTTTTGGAAATAGATAGTGGTAATGGTGGTACGACAGTGTATTTCTCCTGCAAATAGTTCAATTGGCCAAAGACATGTCTTTTTTCAAAATAATTTTATACTTTATGTGCATTGGTGTTTTGCCTGAATGTATGTCTGTGTGTAGGTGCTAGATCTCCTGGAACTGGAGTTATAGACAGTTGTGAACTGCCATGTGGGTGCTGAGAATTGAACCCAGGACCTCTGGAAGAGCAGCCAGTGTTTTTAACCTCTAAGCCATCTCTCCAGCCCCTAAGACATGTATTTTATCACAATAAGCATTTTTGAGACTGTGTGTGGGGTTATGTGCACACTGAAAGGTCAGAGGACAACGTCATGGAGTTGGTTTTCTCCTTCCACCTTTATGTGAATTCAGGCTTTCACAGCAAGTGCCTTTACCTGCTCAGCCATCTTGCTGACCTGTTTATCACAATTTTAAGAATTTTACAGGATGGAGAGATGGCTCAATGGTTAAGAGCACTGACTGCTCTTCCTGAGGACCCGGGTTCAATTCCCAGCATCCACATGGCATCTCATAGCTTTCTGTAGCTCCAGGGGATCCAACACCCTCACACAGACCTACATGCAGGCAAAACACAAACGTACATAAAATACAAATAAATTATTTTTAAAAAGAATTTTATGCTTGCAGGCTGAACACAATGGTACACCCCTGTGATCCCAGTACTTGGGAGGCCAAAGCAGAAACATTATGAGTTGGAGGCTAGCCTGAGGTAGATAGTAAAGCTTTGACTCAAAATATAATTATTTAATATAAATAGTTATAAGTTCTAGTTCATAATCCTAGCTTCTTGGAAAGCTGATGCAGGAGAAGCACTTGAGCCCAGTTTTGAAACCAGCCTAGGCAATACAGCAAGACCTAGGTTCCAACAAAATCCACTTGCAAGTATGGATTCCTAACCAAAAGGGAGCCTTCCCACAGCTGTGGAGAAAGGAGCACTTGAAGCTTGCCTCAATGTTTCTTTGATCACAGTTTAAGGACATGTAAACTTCAAAGTCATTTGTAAAAGTCTTGAGGAGGGAAAGAGAGAGGAGGGGAGGAGGAGGATTTCCCAAGGACAGGTGGAACCCTGGCCAACCCCTTTCCTATGGAGACACTCCTGATACCCTTGCCCCAGCCTCAGGGTTCCATCCCCTGTGGGTACCGTGACTAGGAAAGCCAGGGTGCAGTGCTTAAGGCTGTAGTTTGTGTCTTCCCTCTAGCATTCCTGGGCCTCTGAGTCAGGTCCCAGCTTCCTATAGCTGCCTGTGCCCAAGATGGCCCTGCCTCTCTGCCACATATGCTGGCCAGGGATGGAGGATGACCCTGATGAGTGATCTTCCAGGATCCCAGGATGCCTGCTTCCTGCCCGCAAGAGACCCCCACCCCAACCCACCCCATGTCCAACATGTCTGGTGCTGTGTGTTTGTTCCTAATCTAAAATAGTCCTTTGACTTCTGCAGCCTAAGGATTGGCAGGGATGAACCAAGTGCCTGTCACCATTGACTGAGGGGTCCCTTCTTCCTCCCGGCTGTTTCAGGAACAAAAACCAAATGTCAGGTGGGCAAAGCTGAGGCTTTATTGAGAAAGCTGAGAAGAGGAGGACCCTGGGACCAAGGCTTACAAGACATTAGAAGCCAATGATGACAGGCATCTGAGCCTCCACAGAGTCATCTGTTGGGGGTACTGGGGCAGCCTGAGAGTCGTCTGTTGGGGGCACAGGGGCAGCCTGAGAGTCGTCTGGGGCAGCCTGAGAGTCGTCTGGGCACAGGGGCAGCCTGAGAGTCGTCTGTTGGGGGCACAGGGGCAGCCTGAGAGTCGTCTGTTGGGGGCACAGGGGCAGCCTGAGAGTCGTCTGTTGGGGGCACAGGGGAGGCTGGGGAATCATCCACAGGGGGCACAGGGGCAGCTTCTGAATCATCCACAGGGGGAGGGAGGGTGTCTTGGTCATCAGTCACTGTGGGCAGCACCTCGAATGTCACAGTCCAGTATTTCAGGAACTTGGTCCTCAGGTGCTCCTTCATGGAATTGCTAGTCATTGTCTTAGTGATGTCCAGGTAGTTGCCATTCTCCAATGTATAAGGGTACCAGTGTGTGGGCACGGGTGAGTTGCCCATGTTGGGATCCCTGCAGAGTGAGAAGAGACTGAGTGGGGACCAAGGACTGCAAAAAGACTGAATGTTGTGAAATAATAGTTTAACTGTGTAAAGATGTTACATTTGTTTATGTTGTGGAATATTTAACTAAGTAAAGGTGTGTTGCATTTGCTTAACTAGGTAAAGATGTGTTGCTGTTTCACCTTGTCTGCCTAAGGCACCTGATTGGTTTAATAAAAAGCTGAGTAGCCAATAGCTAGGTGGTAGAGGGATAGGTAAGGCTCATGGGTAGAGAGAATAAGTAGGAGGAGGAATCTAGCAGGGGAGGAGGGAAAAGAGATGGAGAGGAGAGGAGAGGACAGGACAGGACAGGACAGGAGAGGAGAGGGGAGGAGAGAATGAGAACAAAGGAGAGAGGGAGACACCCAGGGCCAGCCAGCTGCCTGCCAGCCACAGAGGAAGCAGGAAAAGTAGGATATGCAGAATGAAAGAAGGGTTAAAAGCCCTGGGGTAAAACATAGATGAAGAGAAGTTATATGAGCTAGTGGGGCAAGCATAAGAAAAGACTGGGCATTCATAACTAATAATGTTTCCATGATTTGGGGGCTGGTGGTCTGAGAAAGCTTGCTACAACTGGAGACCTGTGCTCCCAGACAGCTCTACACATACAGGTTGGCCATCGGAACCAACCTTTTGATGCTCAGTAGTGGTAAGCATGTGCTTGGCCTTGGGGCTGGGTCAGCACCTCTTCTGCCCATGTGCAAGGCTTGAAGATAAGAAGTTTGCACAAGTGAGGGGCAGAGCTAGAGCCCAGGCCTACAGGGCCACAGTGACAAAGGAGTCCTCAAGTTTGCTGTCCTTGGTCCTGGGCTCAATTCCACATCTTACCCACTCCTAGCAAAGTTGGTCCAGTAGGCAATCATGGCCTTGGAGAGAGTCCTGTCTTGGGCCCGGTAGCCCAATGGAGTGGCGAAGGGCTTTCCAAAGACATACTGGAGGTCATCAGCATGGTCAGCTCCCATCCATTTGGGGTAGATGGGCATCCGTGAAGGGTAGGAAAACAGGTAAGAATAGGTCTTGCCACTCCTGAGGGGAGCAGAAGCAGATAGGTTGTTAGGGGACTCCACTGGGAGGCAGGCCCTAGAGAGAGGTCAGGAGGAGCAGGGCAGTGAGTGACTGGTGAACCCCAAAGACTCACAAAGGAACTGGGGCTTGTTTGTTTGAGACAGGGTCTCTTTATGCAGCCTTGGCTGGACTGGAATTTACAATGTAGACCAAACTGGCCTTGAACTCACAGAGATCTGCCTCATGAGTACTGGAATTATAAGTGTGTGCCAAAGCCGGGGCGTGGTGGTGCATGTTGTCAATCTCAGCACCTGGGAGGCGGAGGCAAGTGGATCTCTGTGAGTTGGAGGCCAGCCTGGTCTACAGAGTGAGTTCCAGGACAGGTTCCAAAGCTACACAAAGAAACCCTATCTCAAAAACAAACAACAACAAAAAAAACCCTCTGTGTGTCACTGTGCCTAGCTCTGACCTGGAGTTTTTGATACCCAGGGCAAGAAAAGCTGTAGCCCATATTCATAGATCTACAGTTTCAATGCTCCTGTCTCCACTCCCATAATTCAAGGTAAAGGATTTATTTCTCTCCATCTGAATTCGTGTTTCTCACACAATTAGACAAGGTATATGCCTCTATTACCTATTTAATGTTGACTGATGGGAAACTCAAAGCTAAATTCATTGTTTAGTGAGCTAAGAGGCCTTGGCTAAAAGCTGTGGCAGCCTAAGCAGTCCTGTCAGGAGACACACACACACACACACACACACACACACACACACACACACACTTGGCTAAAAGCTGTGGCAGCCTAAGCAGTCCTGTCAGGACACACACACACACACACACACACACACACACACACACACCTTCCCAGAACCTCACTTGGCATGGGTTTTGTGCTGGACCAGAGCCATCTCGGTGGGTATCAGGAAGAGGATGTCAGTCTCAAAGGCCACCACTGTCTTCTTCTTATTCTCCTGGGATGGGTCCTGGGCCCAGGACTCAGTGTAGATGTCAAAGGTGGTTTGGGCACCCTTAAGCCCCTTGCTGAAAGTGTGTCCTTTGACCAGCTTGTAGAACTCCTCCCTGCATGGGGATGGGTGAATCAGACACTGGACCTGCTGCTGTTGGTGTTGGCAGGAGCATGTCTGCCTATACTCACCCCAACACAGCACCCACCTCCTCACTCTCACCCCACTAAGCACCCCTTCCCATCTCTGGGCTACCCCCCCCAAGCAATGACTATTCTTTCCCAGGTGTTATCAGGTACATGATCCTCTGGGCCCTGGGCCCTCTGCTCACTCTGTGACATCCTGGTTGGTCTTGTCCACGGCTGGCACATCAACAGTAGCAAATAGGTGGCCATCCATGTTGTTAACGCCAGTTAAGTAGTCAATGTCAGCGGCATTGTCATACAGATTGACGGGGTCATCAGGGATGAAGTCTCCATCGACAACAGGGGTGAAGCCCAGATAGTGCCCAATGGGGTCTGAGTGGGAAAGCCAACAGGTTCTTGTACCTTCAAATGCCTGCCTGGTCCCTCTCTTGACTTTTTATACTAGACTTGACCTCTTTCTTCCTTTATTTGACCAGACCAGGGTTCCTCAACCCCAGCCCCAGGGACTTTTGGGCCACAGTCAGCTTGGGATAAGGATTACTGTCCCTATCCTAACCTGCTTGTCCCTAGCCTAACCTGCTAGACAGCAGTGGTACCCTTCTCTGGTTGTGACAGGCAATAGCATTCTCCTGCTTTAGTGTCCCTGTCCCTTCCCTCCTTCATTGTTGAACCTAAACCAGGGATGAGGTTCTAGTCTGCTGGTCACCTTATATGAGGTCTGCCTGCCCTCTAGGCTTGCCATCTGGCCCATGCACTGGCTTGGCAGGTGGAGACTCTGGCTGACCTTAGGCCCAGCACAGCCAGGCTCCCTAAACAAAATGGTTGGTTTGAGTGGCAGAGGTGCTCAGAGGTAGAACTGCTGCCTATCATGCATAGGCTCTGGGTTCAATCTATGACACAAAAAGACAAAAGAGAAACAGGACACAGATGCTAAGACTGCTAGACCTGGCTTTAGAACAGTAAGCACAAAGTTCTGTTTATTTCCTAGGCTGACAGGCTGTTTCTGCATGTTTGCTGGTAGCAGCTCCAGCTAGAAGGTCCAAACACCACAGGAGGTATTTGGAAATTTGCAAATGATGGCCACATTAACAAGGAAGGTAAAGAGTGTCTATCCAGCCTAGAGGCTCTGGGTCTGGGTCCACACATCTCCCTGAACTATATATGGGTTTCTGCTATTTGGGACTTGTGCTTTGCCTTTTTTTTTTTTTTTTTTTTTTTTTGACAGGGAGTCTAACTATGTGTCTATTGCTGGTCTCTCACTGTGTAGATCAGGCTGGATTTGAACTCACAGAGATCTATCTGCCTGTTTCTGCCTCCAGAGCGCTGGGATTACAGGTGTGTGCCACCACACCTGGCCAGGTTTCGCTTCTTAAAAGTCCCTGGAGGAGTGGAAGAAAGATCAGTACACATCCCCTTTACCACTAGGGCCTGCCAGGGGGAAGTGGCAGGAAGTTAGAGAAGGTGCTGTCTGGCATCTTTCTATCTTGGAGCTCTGCCTTGCTCCCCAAGGATGTCCTTTCACTTCCAACCTAAATGTCTCCCACCCAGCAGCAGCCACTCACACTCCTGGCTTGTCATGGGTAACTTGTAGGCTAGTGTCAAGGCCCGGGGATCTGTGATCTTCAGACACCTAGCCAGCTTGCTGGTATCGTCTGTGGGGCATCCCACCTTCTCGGCAATCTAGGGGAAGGTGGAGACAGGTTAGACGAGGCAGTAGCCACCAGGCTTGGAACGGCTAGGAGCAATGGAAGATTCAGGACAGCATGGACACGGGAAAGCTCCCCACCCTGGCTACTCTTGCCCCTTTGCACTTACCCTTTGGGCCCAGGAAAGTGGGTTCTTCTGGATGGCCCAGGGGCTCAGTGCCACACCACTCTGACTGATGGCTCGCCGGATGAGGCCCTTGTTGTATGGAGAGAGGGTCTGCAATACCCAGAAGTTCCATCAGTAGTCTGCACCTGGTCTAGAGCTCCCAGCTGCACCCTGCTCTCCCCATTGGCTCCCTTCCTTAATCTTGGGGTCAGACTATCCACACCAGAGGGCCACAGACCTGCAGAGAGACACTGGCACCTCCAGCAGACTCCCCAAAGATGGTGATGTTATCGGGGTCCCCCCCAAAGGCTGCAATGTTCCTCTTCACCCACGCAATAGCCATGTGCTGATCTCGAAGGCCAAAGTTACCTGAGGGTAAGGGGAGTAGCCTTCATCAGGAGGGGCACTCAACTAGAGTTAGAGGAAGCTACAGATGAGTGGCCTGGGGCTTATTACAGAGAGTGCAAGTTATGTGGACAGGAGGGAACCGGTCCTAATTCCATGGACAATCTGGGAGAGCCCAGGATGGCAACTGTGGATCTCCTGGAGGCTGAGCTGAAGAGGAGTTGCAGGGGTGGGGAGGTGCAGGGAAGCGAAGCTGGCTGGTGGCTCTGCTTGACTCCTGCACCGTTTCCTCTTACTGTTTGTCCTTTGGCTTCCATGTCCATTTGACTCTACCTCAGCGTCCCTTCCTTGCTCTCCAGGACTCAGCTTGTGTCTCTGTCATTCTGTCTGTCCCTCAGCCTCTCTCATTTCCTGATGACTGCCTAGAGCCCCCAAGTCTCACAGTTCAGTTCCAGGATCTGACTCTGTGACAAAGGTTCTGGGCCTTCCTGTAGCTGTCAGAGTGCATCTGTCTTCTGGGCTGAAAGTTCACAGGGTTCAGCACATCCACTGTTCCAACATACCTGGAAGGTTGGCATCCCCGGTGCTAAGGAAACCCAAGGGTCCCACACGGTAGTTGAAGGTGACGACGATGACATTGCCCCGAGTGGCGAGCTCTTCCCCATCATAAAGGTAGTTTTTGAGGACATTGGCCCCATGGCCAGAGCCCATAAGGAAGGCGCCTCCATAGATCCAGACCATCACAGGCAGGTTGTGGGACACTGAAAGGGGCAGACAGGGACTTAAGACACTATCTGGCCTTCTCCTCTGCCAGCTCATTTAGAGCCAGTGTTCAGCCCGGGATCAGCAGTTGGCACCCCCTCCTCTCCTCAACCCTTATTTTAGGTATGTTTGGCTTTGTAGCACCAAATGCACTCCAGGGCAGGGTTTGGAGCTTGGGGTGTGGGTAGAGGTGGGAGTGGGGTGAGGGTGGGGTAAGATCCTCCGGGAAACTGGGATCCAGACCTTGCTTCCTGCTCTGGGGGACCCAGATGTTGAGGTAGAGGCAGTCTTCTTGACCATAGGTGTTGTCCTGAGTGATGGTAGCCTGTAGGCACCGTTTCTTGAAGTCCTTGGCCTTCAGAGTCCCTACAATGAGAGAAGGGGCATATATAAGAGGAACAGCCAGGACCACCCCAGCCAGGGCCAGCCCCAGAACCCAGCACCCACCTTGCCAGCCAGGGTGACGCTGGGGATTCTCTAGAGTTTTGGCGGTGGCAAAGGGGATGCCCTTAAAGATGTCAACAGAGTCACCACCCAAGAGACTGAGCTTCTTGTTGACGCCCTCCACGAAACCACCTTCTGTGTACACAGCACCTAGCTGCAGGTGAGATACGGCAGGGTCAGATGGGCTTGTGCATGGCTAGCCTGAATCCAGAGTAGCTGACTGCTCCAGGGTGCTAGCAGGTCCCCTGCCAAGTGATGGAGGGACTAGTTCACCCCCACCCAACCCTGGCACACCCTCCTGCATCTATCTGAAGACACTTCAGCCCATATTCTGCTCATCTGAGTCTTGGTATGCATGCTCGGTCATAGCAGTTTCCCCCAAAGTTTGATGGCTGTCAGAGGGAGGGCATGTCCTGCTGCCGACAGTGGTGGATGCGCAGTGCTACCAGACTGTTTCTGACATAGCCATGAGTTAGTTTCTCATGTCTCTCTCTCCTTCCCTCACCTCTCCCCACTGTCTAGCTAGCTAGGCATGGAGGCCCCAAGTCCTCACAGGGCCAATCCAGTACTGCCACTTGGTGTCTAATCTTTTTTTTGTTTTTCAAGACGGTTCTCTGTGTAACAGCCCTGCCTGTCCTGGAACTTGCCTTGTAGACCAGGCTGGGCTCAAACTTAGAGATCCACCTGACTCTGCCTCCCGAGTGCTGTGATTAAAGTTGTGTGCTACCACTGCCTAGCTGGTGTGTAGTCTTTCTTACCCAGTGGCCTGGAAGCAGGTACTCATTTGCCCACTGTCCTTGCAAACTGAGGTGCAGGGCTTTCCCACTGGAAGTCATTCTGCTGAGACAAGGCTGCCCAACCTCAGTGCCAGTGCATGCCCCCTTCCTGTTCCGTTTGCATCAGAGTCTAGGACACACGTAGGAGCAGCTCTGCTTACCTGGCAGCAGGGACGGTGTGGCCCACTGCTTCTCCCCTGTGCAAGTTTCAGGGAGGGGGAAGTAGGTGGCCTGAGGCTGCAGGCCCAAGTTAGGATCCCAGCAACCCTCTGAAGTCCAAGCCCAATGAACTCCCTATTATACTGGGTAAGGAAATCGGAGAAAGAGAGGAGTCCGGGGAGACTGCACAGACAACTGAGGCATCTGAGGTTCTTTGTTTCAGCCTCCAGGCTACTGGGAGGAGTCAGAAAGCCAGCTGGTGGGGGTGTGTGTGTGGTGGGGAATGTCACTTCTGTGTCTATATGCTAGTGGTTGACCTGAGTGCCTCAGGTGGGGGCCCAAGGATGCAGGGATCCTGGCCAGTATCAGGATCAGTATGTTGTCTGGCAGTAGAGATGTGGAGAGAAAGTTCAGGTCCTTCTAACACCCTAAAAAAACTCTCTTAAGAAAGATAATTACTTCCTTCCCTTGGTGGGAGCCCAGGACCAGCACTCCAACTTCCAGGCTCCCGGGGAAGGAGGATGGCCTCCAGGGCTCAAGACGACAAGGGTTGGAGCATGAGCGGGTTGAAAAGCAATGCGGTGGGGAGCTGGTCCCTGTGCAGGGACCTGCATCTGTTGAGCTTTCTGTGACTTGCCCACACACCATGGAGAGCGATAGCTAAAGGGCAGACTTTACAGGCGCTCCAGAAGAGCTGGTGCAGCCTCCTCAGGGCACTTGGAGGGGGAGCCTTGCATACAACAGGTAGTGTTCACTCCTCTAGGGAAGAGCAGGAAGTGGAAGTTACTCAGGAGCCAGGCCCCGGATTTGGAACAGACATTTCAGATTCCTGTTCAAGAACAGGATGTGATTGCTGTGTAATGTCAGGCAAGCTGTTTCTCTGTGGGGGGCCCCTGGAAAAGAAGAAAAGCCAGAGGTGGTGGGGAGGTTTGCCAGACTTAGGCACACCTGAAACCAGAGCACGAGTGGGCTTTTTAGTATAAATGCTCCAAATAGTGCACGGGATGTCCTTACACACAAAGTGTATATGAGATTCCAGTACAATTCTGCATGCTGCGCTGGGCTTCATGTGAACAAGACAAGCTGCGTGTGGCCCAGACAGGACATGAGCTTGGTGTTGGGCTTGCTGGCCGTTCACTCCTTCCCTTTCTGTAATCTCTCTGTCCTCAGTCCTTCAGACCCTGTCCCCAGTTTCCAGATCATAATGAAAGAGAGGGCTAAAGTGCCCTGCAGGACTCTGGCTTACCTTTGCAGCACAAGCTGCTGCCAAGCAGCAGGTGAGGCCAAGAAACAGAACCTCCAGGCGCCCCATGGTGAGTGTCTGCCTCTAGGCGGCCTTCTCTCCACGTGTCCAGTATTTATGGAGCTGGAGCCAAGGTCGTACGTGTGCATACCATGTACTCACAGACACACAGGTGTGGGATGGTCCATTTCTCCCAGGTCAGGCTGGCCCTTTGCATCCTGAGTGGCGCCCACAGTGCACCTGTGTGGGTTACTGCCTACCTGGGAGCAAAGGCAGGTGGCTTGCATGGTATGGGGGAGGGCCTTCCAGGGCCAAACCTGGCTGGGTGCTGGGTGTTTTGCATTCTGTCATATTAATTTCATAATTTTAGGGCTTAGTGTCACCTTCAGAAAAATGGGTGTGCTTCATCTCAAGGCGCTGAATTAAGCCCCCTACCTTAATGGGGTATCCATGAAGGACTCCTGAGCCAGAGGTGGCTGTGGGCTACTGGGCACTGGTATGGTTGACCCTTGGTAACTTTGAGAGTTTGCACTAAGGTATGGGGCAGTGCAGGCTGAGCTGATTGCAGGAGGCAGAATCCTGGGATAGGACAAGAAACTCTAGGTGGACATGGTGGCACAGATAGAGGGAAGCTCCCACAGCAAAACCTGGTGTGACCCACTTACCAGGGCTTGGTGGCACCTTTAGATTAAACGGTCATATTTTACCTCTGTGCCTTGCTGGAGGGTTGGGTGGGGCTCCCCGGGAACACAGGCAAGGATTCCGGGGCATGCCCAGGTAGAAAGAGACAATACCTGGGAGGAGTAGAGGCACAGGATGAGGAAGGGAGGAGGAAAGTATTGGGCTTGGAGGTGAAGGCCAGTATGAGGTTATCAGAATGGCCACCATCCTAGGGATGTGTACTTTGGCTATCAGGAAAAGGTTATCACAGTGACGGACACAAACCAAGTCCTAAGAGGCTCCCTTTGAGGAGTGCAGCTGCCTTGGACACCTGGAGGACACAACAGCTGGCCAGGAATAGCCAGAGTCTTCCCAGGCCAGTAGCCCCTCCCATCCAGGAGCCCAAGACCCCAGCTCAGATCACAGCTCCATGTGTTCCTGCCAGAACACAGGGGAACCTACAGACCCAATGCACAGTGTCCATGTGCTGTGCCCAATCCAATGTGCAGGTCTCCATGGTGCATAGTAGGTGTGCAAATGTGGGAGGTGAGAGGATAGGAAGCTGGGACAGAGGTGAGGTAGCAGGAAACACACACTTTGGGTCTTGATTCTGAGAACAAGTGCTAAAGAAAGCAATTGTGTACTGGGGAGAGCTGAGTTGAGTAATGCAGGATAGCTTAGGAGGAAAGAGGGCAGGAGCTGGGGCGGCGCTGGGCGGGGAAGGGGGGTTGGGGGTGGGCGAGGGTGGGGAGGCTCTTTGTATCTAGCTTTTGGAATACTTTTAGGTTCACAGCAACACCGAGAAGCAAGGAGAATCCTCATGTCCACTTCCCCAGCACTGGAGTGGCCTATGTCTACAGTGACAAACCTACAAGGACACATCTGTGTCACACAGTTCAGTAGTGCCGGCTGCTGCTGACACTGGATGTACTTCTTTGTGGCATATGGAGGGTCTAGGACCACAACTGGATGCTCACTGTCCACAACCTCCCGAAAAGGCTGGGCTGAACGCATCAAGGTGAACTGATAGACAGGAGGACCATACACAACACTAACCCCAAGGACATAAACACATCAGAATTTAGGTAAGAGCAGTTGCTTTTGGTGGGGGTGGGGTGGGGTACGGTGAGAAAATCTTTCCTAAAAGCAAAATCCACCAACACTGGTGCCACATAAAGCAGAACTACAACCACAACTCAGGCCAGGCCTGCAGCTGCCACTCCCCAGCTAAGTGGCCTGAGCCTGTTCCTCCAGGAAACCTCCAACAAGTTCTTGGCACAGCAAGCACAGGGTCTGCAGTGCCCTTTCTTGTTTACAGGTGCCCTGGATGAGGCACTTGAACTTTGTTCTCAGGCAGGAGACATAAGCCTAAAGGATGCAGTGGCCCAATCCAATAGTGGGGGTGCAGTTCTCTTCAGGCACTGACCTGCAGAACTCACCCCAAGTACAAAGAGCAGAGAGGCTTAAATGACCCTATGCAGCCTTCTGATTCTATCATGTTACTTTGTCTAATTTATCAACCGTTAAACCTAGGTACTTCAATGACTTGTTATTTTAAATTTTGCATATATGTCTGTATGGAGTATACGCACATGAGTGCAGGTGCCCCAGAGGCCAAAGGGTTGCTGGAAAGAACTACAAGTTACTGGAAATATGTTAAGTGTGGTGATTAACGTCAAGTATTAACTTGACTGACATGGTACACAGATATTTGGTCAAGGTAGGCATGGTGATACACATCTTCAATCCCAGCACTCAGGAGCTGGAGGCAGAAGGATCTCCCCAAGTTCAATGTCAGTCTGGGCTACATAAAGAGCCTGTCTCAAAATAAAAACCCACCCAACAACAAACCCTAAAACATTTGGTCAAACATTCTGGATGTTTCTGTGAGGCTGTTTTCAGATGAAATGCTGTTTAAATCAATGGGTGTTGACATGACAACTTAGCCTTCATGTGGGTGGGCTTCATGCCCAGTCTATTGCAGGCCTGAGACTGGGGGAGGGGGAGCAGGGAGCAGCCAGCATGCTGTCTTTGAGGGCAGCCGCTCACTGAACCTCCAGCCTACACCATGCCCCAAAGACTGTGGACCTGCACCTCAACTGTGAGCCAACTGCTTACAATAAATACTAATGGTTCTGGTCTGTAAAATCTTGGCTAGCAAGTACCAAATAGCACTACAGTTCTGTTAGAGACAAGTATGGTCTTTTCTCAAACTCACGCAGCAAAACACAAATAGAAAACTATACAGGGGTTATATGTACCAAGACTCAGTAACTGTGAAGTCTAATGATGGGTAACGAGCTGCATGAAACATGAGTGCTTCCGAGGGTGCTTTATAGTTTTCATATTAAAAGCACTTTTATTTACATGGGAATTCAGGAGAAGAATAACCACACTTTGCCAAATGTGGCTAGACCTCAGAAGTCCTTCTAGTCTGGCCAACCTAAGGCAAGACTGCCATTGGCCTGGGCTGTGTGGGTAAGGCCTTCAGAGGGCATGAGGTCGCTCACTCAGCACCTTCCTTATATCTAGAGTCAAGGCATTCCTGGGTAGATGGGACCAGAACCTAGACCTCCTCCCCAAAGACCAGGCTGGGCAGCAGCTCAGAAGTGAGAGTACTCCCAGCTGAGGTGTCCTGGCAGCTGCTGTGAAAGAAGTCCTCTGCAGTACAGGCAAGGCTGGCCAGCCTTTAGGGAAGAAGTACTTCCTGCCTCTGGGCTGAGCTTTCTTCCAAGCAGCAGGAAGCAGGGTCAGCAGGGGACACGGTCTGTCCAGCTGCTTCCCTGCAAGGCTGGGAAGTTCCTAGGGGTGCCCACTTAGGCCAAATGAAACAATGGTTTCCTCGATCTTATCAGGAGGATGGGCTAGCTTGAAGCATTTGGCTTTGGACTTGCTGGGACTTGACTGTGTATGCCAGGCTGTTCCAGGGACAAGGCAATGGTGCACCTCTGGCTCAGCACTCTTTAGCAAAGTGGTGCTGCTGCCCTGGGAGCTTGGGAGGCCAGCTTGGCAGGGACATGACAGTTTCTGGTTTTACAGAAGGAAGCTGTGAGACAACAGGGTGTTTCTAGGGAACCGAAGAGCTGGTCCATTTGGTGAAGTCAGGCTGAGCCCAGCCTGAGGATGCCCAGTGTCCTCACCCCTCTGCCCTGGGTGGGGGCACAGGCCTGTCCCAACTGTCCCATCTTGGTATACCAGCATGTCCTGAATGAGTGAAGGAACAAATAAGGTGTTAGGGAGCTTCAGGTAAGAGGAAACATTCCCAACTCTAAACCCACATGTTGAGACACCCAGACACCACCAAGGACAATTTTTTTTTTTTTGAGACAGGGTTTCTCTGTGGCTTTGGAGGCCGTCCGGGAACTAGCTCTGTAGACCAGGCTGGCCCCGAACTCACAGAGATCTGCCTGCCTCTGCCTCCGGAGTGCTGGGATTAAAGGCGTGGGCCACCACCGCCCAGCTCAAGGACAATTCTCTAACAGGACTATTATGGGTGGGCCTGGCTTTTACCAACACTCCCCAGACAGATGGTGTCCAAACCCAAGTGCAGTCTGGCTGTTTGTGATGACAAACCAGGCTCCCCAGGCCATCTGTCACCACAGTCGCAAGGCCTCCGCTAGGATGGGTGCCCCTGGCTTTATCATCCTTCTATGGCTTTTGCTGGTCTTGGCCTTGGGTGATCTACATGGCATTCGGGTTGTCTTCAAACACCCAGGGCCTGCTTGTTAGGACACCAGCTTTCTTCAGAGGTGTCTCTGGGCCGCCTGCACTACTGTGACTTGCTCTGGCTTCTTTATGCAGACAGTCACCAGTCTCACCTGGTTGCCCGGGACCAGTGCTTTGTCACACATAATCCAGAATCTCCGTCTCCATCTCATTTTCACTCCCATCTGAGGGCTTGAAATCCTCCTCGTCCTCCTCCTCCTCTTCCTCCTCGCCCTCCTCTCCAGACTCAAACATCAGCTGCCCTTTCCCACGATCAGTCTTCCCTGTGTCGGAGAAGAGAGCTGCACGAGAAGGAAAGAAGGTCCTGTCTCCCAGTGCAGGCTTCCTAGGTGGCCCTGGAGCTCATTTACCAGCTCAAGCAGTTGGGCTTGAGAGACTACTGTGGAAAGTATGAGGGTGGGGACCCAGGAAGGTGAAGCCTCACAAGACATCTTTAAGTCCATTTTCTGAGGAGAGCCATAAGCAGCCCAGGACCCTATGCACCTTGAGAGGACATACACCATTCCCAGAAAGGATTCACAGCCTTGGCTGGACTCCCAAGAGGGTGAACCCATGTCCCACAGTTAAGAAGCCTTCCTCTACTCAGACACCCACTATCTAGCTTGGAGGAATCTTTTGCAAGAGTTTTTCATTGCTCCGCAGGTCCCTTTGTAAACCCCCTGCCTAGAAAGTGCCACTCACTTTCCACTGTCCCAGTGGCTAGCTCTGGCGTTTGGTTTGAGAAAGGAGCTAGGGAATGCAGTGCAGGGCCATGGGCCATAAAATCCCGAAGGAAGAGATAAGCAGAGGTGCCATTCAGGTACAGGAAGGCAGCACCCCTTCCCTCTTGTCTGCTCACTGCTCAGTGTCACAGCTGAGTCCTAGCTCGCAGGCCTCCCTCCCAAGGGTGATGGACAGCATGAGGGTCTCTGAAGCTTTTGTCAGGAACAGGCCTGGGGCCTCCCTGCACATGCAGCTCTCACCAGGCCTTTCAGAGCGGATGGTCTGCAGAATCATGAGTGACATGGTGTCCCTCAGGTGGTCTGTGGTCTTCGGGAGGCACCAGCCATCTCTCTCTGTGCACACACTCTCTGTCCCATCATTGCGGTGAACAATTTTCTGCAACCTGAAGGCAGAGGAGGCTGTGTGGGCAGGGCTCTATGGTGGGGAACTTATACAGAGCCCCAGAGTGTGGCTGTATGTGTGATAGCTCATGGGCTAGAGTTCAAGCACAGCTCTATGGGCAGGACATTTGTGGCAACAGGATGTCACTGGGGAAGCTCTTACATGAGCTCTGTGTGAAAAACAGTGCTCACAGGGAAGTCTCAAAGGTAATGAAGAGCTTGCAGGGATGAATGGACCCAGCTAGGTACCTTAACATTTTGCTGTCTCTGGGCAGCCTCCCGCCCCCCCTCCCCCCCCCAAAAAAAAACAAAAAAAACTAAAAAACCTATACAAAGCCAGGCATATACCCAGGCACACTTTATGTTAACAGTAAGGCTTTCCCTAGATTCCACACGCTGCCTTGCTGTTTCCATGCTGTTGCCCCACTCTTGGTGTTTTCTAAACTTGGTTGTGAACAAATGGGCAGGTGTCCAGGATCAGGAACCATGTCAATCTCAAGGGGACTCTCGGGAAAAGACTCCACTAAGAGTGACTGCTACTAGCAAGCAGGGCTGCTTTCTACAGGGCACAGTGCAGCCGTAGTTGCTGGTTCCTGCCTTATAGCCCACATATGGCAGGACCAAGGGCAGCACCCAGCTCTCAGTGGCCAATTTTCCCTTAAAGCTTGCTGCAGGAAGAGCTACAGAGAACACTGGTCTTGTTCTAGTGAGTTCTAGCCCAGAGTTCCGCGGGGCATCAGCAGCACAGGACCCCTCATACATACTCCTCCACATTCAAATCACACAGCTGGTAGAACATCTGTCGATAGGGTGGCAGAGCCCCTTCCCGGAAGATGTAGACTGAATCCTGTAGACAGGAGGGAAATGGAGAGGACGGTTTTGTAGTACCCAGGATCTAACAGTGC